CTTGCTATCTCAGATTCTCCAGCATCTGCAGTTCCTACTATCTCTGAAACATCCTTATCTAGATGTTACTCTGCAAAGTGGTTCAGGTTCAACTGTTCTATGAAATACCATGCAATTCATAGGGGATGGACAACAAAAGAATAAAGAAAACTTGTAGGAGCAAATTACTGCAGATGCTGGAATCTGTACTGAAAGCAACAAATGCTGGAGATCACAGCGGGTCAGACAGCATCAACTGAGAGTTAGCAAGCTACTGGTTTCTAGTCTAGGTGACTCTTCATCTAATAGCTGTGTTGGCCTGGAAAAGATTCCACACCAACAAAACATGCAGCCAACAGCAGCATGAACTGGAGAGCAGGAGTGTAGGTTGGTGATAGGGAAATGTGTAGTATTGATAGGTGTGAAATGATTATCATTTACTTGCCAGCTCTGTTTTCTTTCTTACCTATTGTGTGGCCTGGTGCAGCGACTGCTGTGGCGGGCCCATCCGGTGAGGGATGAAAAGGCTGCTGCACTTTGGTCCGAATGATCCTGCAAACAAACCATGAAATCACATCAATTCACCTCAATGATCAGGGCGACTGACTCTACCTGGTCACGTCTAATCTAGTTGTCTCGCGTGTAAGGCAGCCCGGGCTCCCCAGGCAGAACTCCCAGAGTCAGAGCTGCGTGAGGTGCCTAGACCTGCTGAAAAAGGATGTGATTTAATTGATCTGCGGCTGGAGAAAAGTTGGGAATTAGTTGCAAGGCCAGTAATGCAAATGGAAAGCCATAAATTATTTGTGACAGGAATGCAATAGTTCTGTAATGCTGCTTGCAAGCCGTTCTCCCATCGTCTGTACTAATGACACTTTGAAAGGGGCTCACTCCCGAGGCATTTTAAACTGGGTCTGCGCGTTCCGCGCCGAGCAAATGTTATCGTTTGAGCGAAGGCAAGGCGAGTAAAAGGGGAGAAAAGCTATATTTATGTAGAGATTTATTCCAACAACGAGATTTACAACAAAGGCCCTGTGTAAAAAAAAACGCTAACTTCTCGCAGATTTAAAACAGTTGCGGTTAATAGATTAAAAAGGCGAAAAAAATTAAAATGTTCGACGTGCCCCTTAATATCTCTCAGCTCAATTAAATAGTTTGGGGTCTGCAAATTATTTACGCAGGAGGGATACGGTTTTTTAAAAAATATATAACGTAGATGGTCTTTTTGCTTGTCTTTTCACCTCACTTCTTTCATTTGATATTTACTCACCCCGTCCCCAACTGCCCCGGAGCTTAATCCCCACTTTAAGCCTCCTGCTGCAAGAATAATGAATGTCTTCCAGGACTGGTCGACTATGGGAGGATTCATGGCTTTGTCCCTCTACTTCACAGGATCTGTGTGTGTGTGTTTTGGGAGAAAGGGGGAACTTTAACCTAATAACCCAACACGGAGTCTTGACTACAGAAGTCATCCAAACCTACTCTACCCTCAGCCTTAGCAGTTACCCTGGAGATGTTCAGAGCCATCACAACAGATTTTCCCCTCTCTTGCGTCGAGCGTTTTAGGAGGCGAGTTTGCTTTAGGTAATTCTTAAAACTGCCTTTACCACCCAGCCCCCGCCTCCATGTTATTGCCTGACCTCTAACACTTGGGATCCCTGGTAGGAGTTCATATAAAACAGTCGATATACATCAAACACTCATTGATTTTAATGGCCACAAGATCGCCCACAATCTCCGTGGTAATGTCCTTGGGGTTACACGACAAAAGCTACAGGACTTATCAAAAAAAAACATGTATCAATATTTGATTTGGATTCCCAAATTCCACCATAACTGTTATTTGACCTATTGACTTGCGCCAGCCACATAAATTCAGCGACTTTATTCGGAATCCATGTCCTGGATATTGAATAAGCAATTTAGGAGGGCGAATTAATGAGTTGGCCGTTGCGGAAAATTCCCTGAAGAAATATTAAAATTGCTTTGAGTCGGAATCAATAAGCATCGAAAGGAGGGCTTGGATTTTTTTTTTAATGACCACCAGCCGTTTGCTTCTTATTCCTGACTGCAATGTAACAACAGTGAAGCCTTGTCTAGTTGTAATCTTTAAAAATTCATGCAAGGACAGCATTTAGCTACAAAGTGGACTTGCCAATGTAATGATCTGAGATAATCGTTGTATATTGAATTAAAAGGCAACACCGCAAAGCAACGCCCTTTTATTAAGACGGGAAAGGGGGAAGATTCATTTAATTGTTTCTTTTCTGGATTCTAATTTTTTTTTGTCACACCGGTTCTCGCAGCCACACGATTTCTTCCCACTCCACCTCCGGTTTAATTGAAACCGAAAACTTTTACCAACATGCTGTAATGCAATTAATCCACACAAATTGCCCTTGTGAGAGATTGTACTGCCATGCAATTTTTTTGACAGACTCTGTTTTAATGTTAAACACACTGCCTTTAAATACCGTGTGGAATAGCTACCAGCGATCGGGTAAAATGTGTCGCTGGTGGCAACAGTAGCGAATACAGACCGGAGAAAGCTCATATCCGTAGTCCAGCGTTCCAACACACTCACAAAATCCGCCTCTTCATCCCCCCACCCCGAATATCACAGGTTGTTATTTTCAACCAAGAACTATCTTTCATTTCTCAACCTCTCTCTCTCTCTATTCAATGCATGCAATCTGACTCTGATCGTTTGGAAATTTAAAAAAGAGAAGGGAGGGGAGCAGAATGCAATGTTTTGTAAATATTGCGGGGCTGGGCTAGATGTTTGGCGGCCGGTAGCGAGGTCAATCCGGCGGAGAGGAAGAACGAACGTCCCACTCGGCCGGCAAAGGCGGGGGCGGAGGGGGGGGTGCACGTTTGGCTGGTAAATCTCACTCTCAAATCAGGAGAATCCCCTCCCTATGAAATAACAGTGAACCGCTGTTTGAAACACCTGTTAGACATCTGAAAAGTGCTACTTCCAGAGGTAGCAAGAGAGCCTCTGCACACAAAATAAAAACTGATTTTAATCGAGTTACAGCCGAGTTATTATTGGTCACGGCATGAGATGGGTGCAGATAAATAAACCTTTTCCAGATACTGGTATCGAAGTAATACTGCCGTGTTCTCTCCACCAAGGATCTAAGATATTGTAGAGAATGCATTCATTAGTCTCCTCTCCAATTTCTACCTGCACTAGCCCTGGATATATCCATACAGAAATACACACCTCCCCCCCCAAAAAAACATGTGCGTCTGATCCCGCTCCCTTCAAGATGATTGTGTGGGGAGTTGATAAATTAGAGGCGTTCATAAATGCTCAGTTTTGTTTTATAAGCAGAAAATTTAAAATGCTTGTTTTATCTTTTGTTTTCCTCTTCGCGTGTCTCTGAAATATAGAGTTTTTTCCCCACCGTAAATTCTCATTCTAATGATACAAAATCAGAACACACCGAAGGGAACACGGTCGGCTCAGCACCGGGAGTTTTTAATAAGTGAGAGAAAGGTAACGGGCATTACATGTTGGCGGGAGTGGAACGCACAACAATTCTGAGGAAGCTTTCTAAATACAGTTTGTCAGTAAGACGCTCCTCTTAACTGTCCAGTCTCAACATTTTAGGGATTTGAGCGGCTGAAGCGCACTGACTCATACTGGGGCGAGTTACGAGAGGCTGCGGAATAGGTTTAAGAAAATCTCATTTTTTTAGAAAAATGCACAAACAAGAGTTGTCAGTCTGTTCAGCGTTTCAGGGGAACAGTCCACTTCAGTACCGGCATGTGTGTGCCTGTGTGTTCAGGTAAGACTGCAGATGTAGAGGTGCGGTTTCATATAGCTGGACCTCCGTGAACTTAGACAAAGTGCGCATTCACAGAGCCAACCAGCTCCATTTACTTATAAAGAGCTTTTGCATTCCTCCCAGATTTCAGAACCGCTAACCTGGACTGAGCAAAACTTCATTAAGCGTCGGAAAATTAACAAGATAAAAGAGAGAGAGCATGAGCGAGAGAGAGAGTGAGAAGAGAGAAAATAAACAGAAGTCAAGCAGTGAAGAGAGTGGAAAGATGCGCACCGAAAAAAAACAATATAAAGGTCCAAGGGATCGTGTACAATTTTTTTTTGTTTCTCTGTACAATAAGTTTTCAACTTGTCGAACTAATAACAATAATTAGTCGACCTGACTTATCTAGTGCGCCTTTGAGAAGCGTCTTCTGTGAATTCCAATTAAAATTCTCACTCTCCTTGCAAAGAAATCTGCCCTTGGCTCTGGCTGATTACAACGCTCCCCCTCTCCCACGCCGATCGTCCAAACTCGCCTATTTTATTGCGAAAAAAAAATCTGCTCCCCCCCCAAAAAAAACACAGAACCTCCCCCACCCCGCCCCCGCCAGCCTCTGAGGATATGAAATGGGCTCTCTCTCCCCACTTTCCGCTCTTCCCTCCAGCAAAACTCAGGGGGTTTCAGTAGAAGCACCGCCCAGGCTGTAATCTTTAAATCAATGGCATTATAGAGCCTCCCTAATAGTTTACATTTCCACCAATTTGCAATTACATTAAACAGCGAAAAAGGGCAGTGCATCCGGGTCTTGTTCACCTGCCCTTCATTGATATAGCCGCCTGTTTCGCTATGATCCCAGGTGAGTTCAGAAGGGAGACCGCCGCCTCTGATATAGATTTACTATGTTCCCATTAGGAGCCCATGTTTTAGGAGTGATACAAAAATGTGGTTAGCTGATTGTATGTATTTCCAGATTGGTATTTCTATATTGGTATATTGTATAAACAGATACTGTCATGAGCTCCTTTGAGTTAGGAACTGATTTCTTTAACTCTGGACAGAACATTCCGTCCTTTCTGACTATATCAATGAGGCAGATTACTGCACCCCGTCTTATATCTTACAAAATTAAAGTTTAATTTTTCTTGATATAAACAGCCTCCACTGTCTGTCTGTCGCCCCCTGCCCCCGCTTTTCCAAATGTCCTGCTCAGCCCAATCTACATTTATAGCGGCGAGCGGTTTAGTCAAATACTTCCTCACTTCCTTGAACTTAATTGTGAAGTTAATAGTGGCGACTGAAAACGATTGTTACTCTCAGTGAAACAGACCTACTTTCAGACTTATCGTTCTAACTGAAGATTACGCTGAGCGTTGAAACCTGGTTAGCTGTTCATTCTCTCTGTTCATTCCTGACCCTTTTCAGTATTATCAATGAAGACTTGCTATTTTAACTTGTTGAGGGCTGTCGGAGCCCGGTCTCACGCCTGTACCTGTTGATGGAGCTGACACTGGGCACACTGTCATTGTCACAGATCCCCTCGGCCAATAGTCGGTCGCGAATCTCCCAAGCGAACATGGTTGGATTCTGGCGCTTGTATTCCGCTATCTTATCAACGACTTTCGGGGTCGCAACTTTGGGCTTTGAGCCGCCGATAACTCCGGGCTTGATGCTGCCCGTCTCATAGTACCTGATAGGGTAGACGAACCAGAAAAGCGAAAAAAATATGACAAGTAAAACTTCAGCAAAGAATGCTGTCTGTCATTCCCGCACCGCTGTGGAGTTCCCGCAATCAACAAGGATTTGCATTAGATTAAACATGGATATTAATTACACAATTGTTCTATCTCTTATATAATTAAATTTAGGGAAACGACAACAAAACTCGACCTCACTCGTTATTTACAGCCCCATAAAATGAATATGGCATACTGAAACACAAATAAATCAGTGTATGTATGCAAAGGTATTAACCTGTCTGCGCTACAGTCCTCCCTACTCTCTAACTACCCGTCAGCTCGCTTAAAGATTAGAAAGCTTTAATACAATCCTATGCGTCATTTTCTTCTCCTCACCGGGGGAGACAGTTTTAGAAAGGTTACAATTAAAATTAAACATTGACGCTGACGCTTTGCCTTTGGTGGCGGAGGGGACCGAAGTTTCTGGATTGTTCTGCCGACTGTTTTTCCGCCCGAGGGAGCGGGACAGAAGGCAGAAGAGCTGGGAGTGGAAGCTATCTGAACGACTCTCCCCGGCTCTATGCATGTGTCTGCGTTAAAGCTTGTTTGCTTCTAAGTCGTTGTGTTCTGTTCACATTATTTGCTTCTAAGTCGTTGTGTTCTGTTTAGGAATCTGAAGTAGAATGGACAGTGTAGAAATTGAGAGCCACGATCTCGAGACGATTCCCCCTGCATTATCTGAAACTGAGATCCACAGCCCTCACAGTGAATAATTATTGTCCTTTCACCAGTCTTATTTATCCCACTGTTACCGAGCGCTACCCTCCTAGCCTCTGTCCGTTTTATGGTAAAGGGTTGTGCAAGCGAAGCAGGTTAGGTTATTAAAAAAAACTGTTTCGCATTGTTGAAGTGGGAAATAATACCATTCGCCTCCCCCCTGTGCGCTGCTCAATTTGGGCTATAAATTGGGGGTGGGTGGGGGGGAGAGGGGGGAGTATGGTGGCATGGGGAAGGTCGAATGTAAATAACAAATGCAATGCAGATTGCAATTCTAGCGCGGGTTTAACTCAGGATAGATTCGTTCAGGAACTGAATCGGCTTAAACCAGGGAACACTCCAAGCCGACCTGTGCAGCGTGACTGAGATTCAGCACAGGTGGTATTCACCTCATCAGTGGCCGCATAGTGGGGATTCAAAACGTTTCAAGGTCTGAACATACTCCGGGTAAACAAATACCTGCCTTCGGAAAAATACAGAGTCTGGGCACTTATTAATCAGGGGCCACATAAGCAATGACGAGAGGGGTTAACGCCAAACTACTTTGTCCCCACCCGCTCCCAGCGCTGTGTATTCCCAAATGGCGCCATCGGATTAGAAATGGTTCCAACACCGCAGTAATGTTTCCACTCCGGGTGCAATACAATCAGTGATTACTGGACACTAAATGCCCAGCGTGATACCAGTAATTTCTAACGTGTTTTTTTTTCTCCCTTCTCTTATGTCTCCATGACTTCTTAGGAAAATTTCAGCGTCTAAATGCAATAACGTTCAGAAAGCAAGTTAAAAAGAAAATTAAAGTGACGAGTCCAAAACAGGAGCCAGCTGCAGTGATTCTTTTTTTAAGATTTACACTTTTGAGACTCCTATTTCAGCGTCACTCAGATTTCCAAGTCTGGCTTTGTCAAATGGCTTGTTTCACAGTGAAATATCAGTTGTCACGTATTATTCCGGGCCTAGATTTTAATTTCCAGTTTATTTCAGTGGTATCAAGACATTATTTATTTCAGCTTCTCTTGAATAGCTGACTTGTTCGGATAACTACCTGGGAAATGGACATTTCCTAAGTTTCGAAAGAATCTGTTACCTTCTCTTCCACTCCCAAAATAATGGTTAGGGGTTAAAATCGCAGGTAGTAGAGTCTTAAAAAAAACTCACAAAAAATACAGTCCACCCCCTATTTCCACCTGTTCTACTGAATCTGTGAATATTTGCATAAACCACGTCAACCTCGCAGGCCCTGGCAACGAGCTACAAATCCTCCACAGACCGCCCCCTTCCCCCAACACTCTCGTTTTATTCCACTCCTGCTTTGTAAGTGATTTCTTCCGTTAGAGGCGGATCTGATCGACTTAAAACTGGAGTGTGTTCACAATGGGGTGTGCCAGCTCGAAAAATAACGTTCGATTTCGCGTTCAGCTCCGATTTGGCACATCTTAACTGATGTTTCATCTAGCTACCTTCTTGTCCTGGGAGTACTTCTCTGTCTTTGTACCTTGTCTGCCTTCTGGATTACCCATATCATTTACTCTGAACTGTTTGTACTGTCGTTACTAGACCCAGTATGCCACTTTGATAACACTGCCTATATTAGTGTTGTTAAAACAGTTTCTTTTTTGCAAATTTCCGCTGCTAGCGGATTCAACTTTCGTTGCCAACGGCATTGTCATTAGGGGTGATGTGAGTTTGATCAGTGTAAGTAGGTGGGAGCATAAATTGACTTTATTGTGTGGGTCCTTTCACCTCTGAGCGCCACTAACCAATTTCTCATACTAGTTCCGGGATCATGTGCTTGTGTAGGTTTATGAATAGTACTAAACTTTGTTTCTTTCTTGGCTGCGTTAATTTCTGTTTGCCCCTTGTCTCTGGCAGTATCCCCCCTCACCTGCCCAGTATCTTGCTGACACAGCCGTGGCTGACCCGCAGTTGCCGAGAGATGTCACAGGGTCTGACTCCCTGGTGTGCAAGTTCTACGATGCGTTGTCTCACCACGTCGGGAAGGGGCCTGCCGTTCACAAATACTCCTCCCAGCTGATTCACACCCCCATGCCCTGCAAAACACACACAACTGAACTCATCCCAGGTAGAACTGCAACCTGAAAGAGAGCAAAAAAAGACAAGGGTAGGGGGGAGAGAGAGAGAGAAAAGGGAGGAGTGGCGCAAAAGCAACAAAATAATGGAAGGAGAAAAAAGGGCGGGAGGAAATGGGAATAGAAAGAGAAAAGAGAACGAGAGGAAAAAAAATCGAAAGCATGGAATAAAGAAATTACATATATGTGGACACGTGTAGTAAAACAGCGATACATTTTTAAAGTTCACACATTAAGTTATACATAAAGGCACATGAAATGCCTTATTTTAAAACTACATTATTTCCATTTATTGATTCGTTCTGCCTTCTTACGGAATACAAAGCCCGTATATTTATACATTAAAATCTCTGATACCGGATTAAATTAATGTATCTCACACAATATGACGTGGTAGTTTTAACAAGCAGAAATATTCATTGCACTTTGAAAATTGAGGATCATCAAAATTTTTTTTTAAAAAAATCCATGTTTACCGCTTTTGAATTAGCTTCCATTTTCATTTGTCGAGCAAGTGTTGATTGTATTGTGAGTGTGTGTGTGTGTATGTTTGACGGGGCGGTAAGATGATCTGTTTGTTAAACGGCACGCTGGTATCTGCGCGGTTAGAGTGTGGAAAACAGCGAATTACAAATGTGTAGGGTTCCCTCGCTGCAGGGCTTCGGAGGAGGCGTCTGAAAATTCCTCTGTCTCGGTTTCTTCTGCTCCTGTAGTGTGTGTGTGTGTGTGTGTGTGTGTGGTTTGGAGGGGTGTGGAGGTGTTGGTGAGATCTTTTTATCGGGGGTACAGTTTGCTTTGCTCGGGTGACAATCAGCAATTTCAGTGAGTGTAAAATTGTTAAAAAAAAGTAGACAATTTCAGTATGGGGCATTGTGAAGCTAAAAAGGGATCTATGGATTTATATGACTTATAAATGCATCTGCCAATCTGTGTTAATATATATAGAACACATAAGTTACAATGTGTAATGGGGTGCATATGCTGGGCACCGAGTAATTAAGTGGACCAATTGTTTACGTTTCAAAACTTGCACACACAGCTCATGCAGCTAGTCCTAAATAACGTGTCGCTTGCCTTGTGTTATTTTCTTTAACTCCAAACGTTGTGTTATTTATTGTGGCCATGCTGTTTAATAACGGACAGAAGGAATTATATCAAACGCCTCGCCTTATTTACAAGACTTGTGTGATTCACTGGAACAAGAAGGAGACAAGGGGATCTCCTTGCACTCAGTGTACTTGTCCGAAGTTTATTTACGCTGGAGTGACCGCGGTTATTTCGACAACAACGCAATTCCTTCGCTTCAAACACTAACTCAATGATGTGACATCGTTCTAACTAATTCTGAATTGCCCCGAAATGAAGACAGACCGGAAGATTATAAATATGGATTTGTGTAGGACAATCTTGTACAGAATGGTTATTTAAAAACAAAACTCTTTAAAATCTTTCTCGATCTTCCCAACACATTTTAACTCGATTCCCATTGTAATTTGATTATGTTAAAAAGGAAACAAAGCATTTGCCAATCTGTCCTACAAAATACAACTGGGAGAGCGAGGTAAAGTGCTCTCTAATGATAGCTGTTTTGTTCGCGCTTTTCCTTTACTCTGCCGAGATGTGGTTTGAAGTTACTATCTGGCAAAACTCCTATCTGATTCAGCATCAATAATTCAAACCAGCTTTGATATCTTAGATTCGGTATTATTTGAAAGCTGCATCATCAAGGGAAGATTAGAATAAATAATTTAAAAACCTTTTACGCTGTTATTTCTGTTAGCGTTATAAGTATGCGTTTACCTTTACAAAGAAAATGGCAATACGTGAAACGAGTTATTTTCCTCTCAACCCGACGTTAAAATTCTATCGAGGTTGGTATGAATTACAAATTATTTTAATAATCCAACCCAGTGCAATAAAAGATATCTACTTGACTTCATATATATATATGTTAGTGCAGTGAATCGGTTTATAGTGTTTGAGAGATTTCTAATACTATGGGGCCCTACACGTGGTGAACGCTGAAATCAGAAACGGGATGAGCCGGCACTTGTCAAATCCGGGCTGTATGAAAAGATTATTTCATTGCCACCCGAACTCCCTTGTAAATGTTATCTTTTACAAGCAGCTGGAAGCGAGAAGAAACAAATTCTCAAGAAGGATGGTGAGAGAGAAAGAAAGAAAAAGAGAGAATCTTCTACCTGAGAGTTACTGGCAAAAAGCAACGTCACAAGCTGAACGTTAGAAGATATTTGTGAGGGAAGCTTGGTTAATATGTTTGGCGAGAAAACCACCCACTCTCCCTTTACAATCGTGCAGAGAGTGCGAGGGAAAGACTCGTTGAATGACCTTCTTAAAAGCTACACAACTCCCGCGAGCTTCAAGCATCCCCTTTTATTTTTCCAGTGCAATTATATTTGGTCTGCTTAATATTCCTCAAATTCTCAGTTTAATACGTGCCGTGATCTTTCTGTTATCAACGTAAACAACCCGGACATGTATATTTAGATGTAAGTGACATTTTGTCAAGTAAATAGTCTTTGCCTTTATTAATAAAATCATCCTTTTATGAAATGTGCATCTCGTTACGTTTCTGTGCTAAATAAATATTAGCAATTACAATTAGAAAGCTTTATTAATTTGCGCCTCGCAGCACTAATATTTCATTTAAAACTGGCGTTAGAAAATACAAAGTACAATTAATCTCTTACTCACTGTGCATAGCTGAGAATGGATCTGCTTTACAATGTATATCCATGAGTGCCAACGCTACAGAAATGAAGGGGACTGAATCCGCCGTCTCGTCTTTTAATTAAACGCTTACGTTAATGCAGAAAAAAATAACATTGACTGTAAACAAAACAAAACAAAAACAACTTTTCTCTGTCTTTTTTTTTCCTCCCCTTTTCAGCTGTGGCGTCCAGCGAAAATACTAAAACTACTCCGGGAAAGAAAGTTGTGACTGGCGGCCGGCGTCCTCACTCGCTGTTCCCGGTGCACGGAGAGATAGGGAGAGATAGGTCGGCAGTCGCACAGGTGAGACACATGTCCGTCCAGTTTTCTGCAATGTTTTTGGAGTAAATCAGTCGGAAACCAAGTCTCGGATTTATAGACTGTTTAGAGAGCGAGGGAGAGAGAGAGAGAGAGAAGCGCACACGCAGTGACGGGAAATGAACGCGCGATGCGTCGTTTTGGCAATTTCACTGTCCCTCTGAAAATTTCTGTACACCTTCACTCAAATCCTTTGCTTTCGCCCTGTCTCCTCAGATGCGACTGATGGGTGCCTGAGTTGCACCAGGGTAACAGGCCGGTCTGCAGGGCGGTAGTGCCCAATGGAGCCAGAGAACGTGTCTCTGGTTAGTTTCTGGTGCTGGTTGCAGGTTTTGAAGTACAGACTGGAGCCCGGGTTCTGCGTGGCTCTCTCTAAAACCCTGCGCAGATTCCAGCCACTCCAGTCCCCTTTAGAAAGATGGATGACTTGTCAGACAAAGCCAATAGATTACAACACATTGTGATTCGCCAGCGCAGATTGGACCCCAAATGAGGAGGTCCCGTGATCTGCCAGTGTTGAGAGTCACCATTCGCAAACACACATAAATAAATAGACACACAGACACTGACATATACAGACGCGCATACACACACACACATACAGACACACATAGACACACACATATACACACACACATACATACACAAACATATACAGACACAGACTCACATATGCAGACAGAAGGACACACATTCACTCACAATGCAGAAGCAGAGATACACATTAGTGTACAGAGTCACACATTTATATTCAGACTGACATGCAAAAACGCACTAACATATACAGAGAACTACACATACAAAGAGAAACAGACATACATACACTGAGACACGCACTCAAATACAGACACACACACAGACAGGTACTCAGACACATACACAGAGACACACATATACAGACGAATACACGAACATATGCAACACATATATACACAGGAACACATACATGCAGACGGAGAGAGAGACGCTTACATAAATGCACTCTTACAGAGGCGCACACATATACATTAATTTATATAGAGCCATGAAGTAACATACAGAGACACGCAGTCACACTTACAGCGCCACAAACACTCTTCACCACACGCACACTCGCATATACTCACGTGCTCACATATACAGACACATACAGTCGCATATACGCGTAGAGACATACAGTTATACAAACACATACACTTGCAAATACATTGATGCATACCTCACACACGCTTTCCAGACACATTGACACACGCATACACACTTCATGTATAAAGGGAAGCACAAACTCAACACACATAGACCTGGACACATAGACACTCAATTCTCATTCATACGCATACCACTCAATCTTACATTTTAGCACAAATACAAAACCTAAATTCGGAATCTGAGTTTCGATGTTATTTGGGGAATTGAATTACGAAACAGCCCGTTTGACATGAACAAGACGATAGGATAAATGGAATAAGTAGACAGACCTTAGTCAAGAGCAACTCCACACATTATCTGTATTTCGCTTAATCTGGGTCTCGCTGCACTTTCCTCTAACATATCATGTATTCCTGTCTTATTTCCAAATTGAATTCTGCGGGAACAGTCTCTCCCTGTACATCTGTTTATTTTAAACAGATTGACTCTTTATTGCAATCAGCCGCTTCCAAAGAAGGATATATATCAAACGACAACTATGGTGCTTCCACTTCCTGAGATGTTGTTTATATATCTGATTATATTAACCGGTGTTTCTGTGCAATCAAGTTATTTAACCAGCCCCAGCCGCCGCACCCCTCCCCCACATAGGCCCCGTTAGTTCACCTGAGCTGTCTATACGGAGCGGAAAGTGAAATTAGATTGACAGACTTTTGTTAAAAAAAAAACGTTTCTGGTATATCAATAGAGTTTACAAATCACACTTTGTCCTGTCTCTCTGAAGTTTTTTTTTATTAATAATGTTTGCTCTTAACGTTTCACTGAGTCCATGTGTAGACGCATCAATTTAGTGACCCACAGCAATTTCAGTCACATAGCATGGGCCGACCATGCAAAAGTACTAAAGCCTCAAACTCATTCCTTCTTAATAGCTTTCAGAATTCGCCGTAATCTTTCTGCAATGGGTAGTTAATGTGCGTTTCATTTCTTCACTTGCCTGTTCGCCGACCAGAATCTTTCAGGTGCCTATTTGTTTTATTGTAAAGAAATGATTTGTGTATGTGCAAGGTTTTTGAGCGATAAATGGAGTGAGTTAGGCGTCGTGTCGCCCACAGTTCTGCAGGTGGCGCTGGCTTCTAACTTCTCTGAAGTCAGATCACTTTGGTAAAAGGTTGTAGGTGAGTTCAAAGTTGGAAATATTCACAGTTCCTTGAGCTCAGCGCTCACTCTCCCGGGACACAATAGAAACCTTATTTTTGTAAATATATAATACATATAAAGAATAACTCCCTGAAACACTGGCCAACATGACTTTTTTTATTTCTTTCTGGGCATAAATTTGCAAGTGACTATGAATGGAATCTCCGTTTGATCTTTTCTCAATCAGATTATTCGATACAAGTGTGGGTATAAAGGCTACTCGCTGTTAAGTTGTATTAATTTCGCTATTTACTACTGCAGCCCTTCTTGGAATGGAATCAACAGTCTGATTTCTCGGTGACAAATCATTTAATCTGTCATCAAGCCGCTTGTTTTCGAACGATTTTCTGTCATCGTGCGCTGCATATTGCAATTGAAATCTTTTCTTCGCGTATTGTCTCCCTCGCCACCCCCTCCTCACTCCAGACCCCCAGCTCCATTTCTGTAGTTGAAGTAATTTTAGTTTGCAAACAATTCCCGCTTTCACTGTTCAGCTTGAGAAGTGCCGGCGGTGACCCTGCACAATATCTATCCAAGCACAGTCCAGGTCCAAAACTAAAATTCATGTAATGCTAAGGAACGCTTTCAACTCAACTCAACCCACATAATTCAGGCTTATACTTTAATATTTACTTAAATAGTGCAGGCCGCTATTAGCTGCTGATCAATGTTAATAAAATGCAATTAATACAAAACAGTAAAATACGGGATTAACTGTGGGCAGGGAGGGACAGTTAGGGAGCATTTCTGTAGCTAGGAATATTTCTGGGTCTTTCATTTATTTCGTTTTCTCGCTGGGATGGATTCCGGGAGACAGAGTCAAATTTAGATGTTTTACCCTCCCCAACTAAATGTGAGGATGGCACTGCCATCCCGTTCGAGAGAACATTCGAGAAGCACCCGTGGAAATTCATTTGACCAAGCGCAGGAGTTAGTTCAGGGCTCTAAATGTTAGTGGGACTGGGGCATAGGGAATGGTCACTGCGCTTCAGGAAGAGCTTGAAACTCGGAATTGCAACCCGGGGACAAGCATTTACAACTCAAAACGATGAAGGGGAAAAATAGCGCAATGGGGCGAGATTCTGTGTCACTTTTGCTGCAATTATTCCCCAACCCCATTGCCAACAAACTCTTTTAGTGTGTCCGGTTTAGCAGTTGTAAGAATTTTCACCGCGCGGTTGACCTTATAACAAACCAAAAGTGATAGTCACTGAAAAGTAAAATGCTTCCAAACTCGCGGGCTTGGGTTTTTTTTGGTTAAAATAGTGTTTTGCATCACCCGCGAGAGAAAAGTGACACTTTTTCTCCGCGGGACGGTTCCGACAACAAACATTTGATCAGTCCTTGTATTTATTTTTACACTGCCCTTTGAGACCGTAGCAACGCACAGTGCTGGATTTATTTAGTCGTGAACAGGGGCACCAACGCATCTTGGATTATTAATCGGTGTATGATAGGCGGCAATGAAGTGGTTTCAAACAGTGGCCTTGTTCTGTTAAACTACAATGCAGGCTGACTTGGGTGTTGGGGCAGTCCGTTAGTCGGTATTTTAAGAAATAAATAAACGACATGACCAAAGGTGGACAGGAAATCAACTCTATTATCTGAGGCGCAACTTGCAAAACTTTGGATACCAGTCTGACAAGAGGGTGGGAGAGACTTGGAAGGGATTTGGGGGAGTGATGGTTGGGTGACCCCGCTGTACAGCCATTCATTAACCTATTTCACAGGAAGCCTCTCTCGCTTTATTTGCACTTCAAAGTAATGTGCCGTCTCGGCCAACGGAAATTAAAGAAAAATAAACTTTTTTTGTTGCGGGGGGGAGGGGGTGGTAGTGTGGAGAAGTGGAGGAGGGAGGGTGAGGACAGGGGAGTGTGTAGCGGAGAGAGGAGGTTGTGTGTAGATTCTGGAAATTAGCCCTTGTCCGGTTGCAGTCAATCTGCATTTCACTTGATGCACTATGCGAGAGAGGCAAATCCCTTGATGCTATGTTGTATCCAGGCTGCTCTTGTCCGTTCACTTGTTTAACTCTATAATCCTGTTAGGTGTAAATAAACTGGCTCGATTTGACGCCTTTCGGTGTTTACACGCGGGATTATCCATGACGGTGTGTTTGCCTTTGATGTGAAGCGTTTAAAAGTTAAATATAAAAGTGGACAGCACGGGAGGATAATGAATTGGAAATTACTCGGGCTGCAGTTGGATGTTCACGATATACATGTGTGTTTGCTCAAACAATGGTTTCCACTTGAAGTTCTCGGTGCAAAAAAAAACAAATGACCAATCTTTCATTTTAGGTGAATGATTTTGAGCTTGTCACAATTTATTTCCTCAAACACACAAGCACCGTTCCTTTCTGAAGCATCTTGTCAATGCAGTTAGCAGGTAACTGTAGTGGGATGTTGGGATCTGGTGGGTTGTATTGCAAACGCTATACTGTTAATAGATAATACTGGGTATTTCTGGGGTATATGTGTTGGGGCGGGGGGGAGGGGGTTCACGGGACGGTGGGAGGTGAGACAGTGTCAGAGCCGTCTGGAAGTTACACACTCCCGATGGATAGGTATGATTTCCCTTACAGAGATGGACAATGAGAAAAGAAAGATGGCATTAACTAAGCTTCATTGAGTATTTACAGATAGATGGGCACACGCATCTACACAGTCTAAGATTGGGTCTATGTGTGCCTGCCGATCCATAAATATTGGCACACTCTCGGATTATTGTATTTACAGTCCAACCACAATATATAGGCCCCAGTCAACCCCAAACAAACGGACAAGCGGAATTAGAAGTGCTTTAAGATGTGCTGGCGAGACACTAATGAGCGGATGGTTCCAGTTTGTGCCCTTGGCTAGGTTTGGGTTTGCTGGATATGCGCGCTTTAGCAAAGTTGAGGCATTCTGCTCGCAAACGTAGCGGCAATTTCACAGTCCGGAGAACATTTTGCCTAAAGCAACTTATTTTTTTCCCTTCTCCTTAATCCCTCTTATTCCCCCCCCTCCTCACTTGTCTCGAACC